AATGCTAATGTCTTGTTAAGTAAGTTAAGTAAGCGATTTTCTCTATTTGAATATGTTTCTTATGGTATGTTCTGCATAACTTTGCAAAATAAATCAAACTGTGCACTTGTATATATCAATTCAGCAATAATTCCTTTGAAAGTGTCATTGCAGAATAATCTTGACTGTCTAACAGTCTATATATTTATTCAGTTGTATTCATACAAACTAGCTTATTCTTTGGTTCTTAGATTTTGTCCTAAGTTCTGTGTAAATTGACTTGTCAGATGCAACTCATATTACTCCTCCATCTTCAATTCCACTCACAACAACTAAGAATTAGTAAGAACACTGAAAACTGTGTAAATCAGAGCAGCAGCTAAAGGCAGGTTAAAGCCAAAGTGACAAAGAGAAATAATAATCCTTATTATATTGATCTTCACATGAGCTTGAAAGAAAAATAGTTATATGCGATTAATAAGCTGAGGAAATTGAGAGACAAAGGCTGATTATACCAGCATTTAGTAGAAAATGAAACCAAAATAATAAAGGAAAAAAGTAGAAACAAGATTTCTGTTGACTGTCATCCAAAGAAGAACAAAACAGCTTCTGTGTTTGTTAGTTTCAGTTATGTAATACTGTGCACTTCCTCATTTGAAATATGTGAATATCATTACAGTGATTTTCAAGGTTAGAAACACACAAAGAAGAACAACACTGTTGTACTCACATGCACAGTTAGCACAGCCAAACACAAATGCCTGCAGGTAACCTTTGACCTTTAAATATGTTAAAGAAAGAGAACGAGACATTAAATGCAGTACTGGATGAGACACAAGTACAATGAAACATCTCAGCTGTTCACATTGAAGGAGATAAAAAAAATATTTGACAACATCTTTACCATCTTACAAAAAAGTTGATGAGGTGTTTGGTGGGATAGTTCACACAAACTATCCTGTATTATATGAGTTTTAAAGTGACATATTTCTCTCTCTGGCAACGTGCAATGATTTAAGTGGGAAAAAAATAAGCATAATAAAAGTGTGTCTAAGGCTGTGAAAATCTGAAACTGAAGAACAAAGCAGAAATAAAAAAAATCACAATCATGGTGTTAAACCCTTTGATATTAAATATCTGTCATACTGGTTTCCCCATGATTGTCAGCCAGGTGGTGACTGCTGGGATTTATTAGGATTTTAGGAAATGTTCATCCATAGAAAACTGGACCTGTGAGTACCAAACATTCTCCAACTACTGGCTTAAGAGGAAGCTCAAAACTTATGAATTTCAATCCTTTGATGTAGAATTGCAGCTAATGTCAGCCTTGAATCATACCAGAATTCAGTGATGCATATGAAAGTTATTGCAGCAAAATTTCTTTACACAACTACTTGAATTTGACAAGATGGTGGAGTATTCCTTTAACACAGAAAGAGCTCCATCTATTGTGGACAGAGTCAAATGGCAGGTTTGTTACTATCAGCTCCACCCACAACAGAGTAAATGAAAACGAAAGAGTCATAACGTTGATCAGAGCAGAGACGCCATTACACTGAAGGCTGGGATCTGTATTTATGGTGAGTCGTGTTATTTGGGGGGGGAAAGGAAATCTGAAAATCAGATCAAATGGCTGAAAAACTTGTACTTTTTGAAAACTATCTGAGCTGCCATGTGTGTTCAGAGACTTTCAGAGATCCTGTGTCTCTGAGCTGCAGCCACAGCTTCTGTTCAAGCTGCCTGCAGAAATTCTGGGAACAAACTAAAAACAAAAACTGTCCCATTTGTAAAAGAAAATCTTCAAAAGATTATCAATATGTAAACTTTGCTCTCAAAGAACTTGCTGACTCTTTTGCTGGGAGACAGAAAGTTGGATCATCTGATACACTAAAAGAAAAGAAGGTATTGGAAATGATTTGCAGTAAACATGAGGAAGTGCCTAAACTGTTCTGTGTGGACGAGCAGAGAGCTGTGTGCACCGTGTGTGACTTTTCTCTCCACCAGAGTCACAAAGTGGTTCCTGTAGAAGAAGCAGTCAGTGACCTGAAGGAGCAGCTGAAATCTGACTTAAAGTCTCTGCAGGACAAGAGGAACAAATACAAACAAGTGGAGGAA